AACAAAATTGACAAACCATTAGCAAGACTCATTAAGAAACAAAGAGAGAAGAACCAAATTAACAAAATCAGAAATGAAAATGGAGAGATCACAACAGACAACACTGAAATACAAAGGATCATAAGAGACTACTACCAGCAGCTCTATGCCAATAAAATGGACAACTTGGAAGAAATGGACAAGTTCTTAGAGAAGTATAACTTTCCAAAACTGAACCAGGAAGAAATAGAAGATCTTAACAAAATGATCACAAGCAAGGAAATCGAAACTGTAATCAGAAATCTTCCAGCAAACAAAAGCCCAGGACCAGATGGCTTCACAGCTGAATTCTACCAAAAATTTAGAGAAGAGCTAACACCTATCTTACTCAAACTCTTCCAGAAAATTGCAGAAGAAGGTAAACTTCCAAACTCATTCTATGAGGCCACCATCACCTTAATGCCAAAACCAGACAAAGATGCCACAAAAAAAGAAAACTACAGGCCAATATCACTGATGAACATAGGTGCAAAAATCCTTAACAAAATTCTAGCAAACAGAATACAACAACATATTAAAAAAAATCATACACCATGAACTCAGGCTTTTTTAACCACAAAGTCGTTCTCAACCACTTCCTTGAGTGTCTGGGGACTCTCCAAGTCAGGAGACCATGCTTCTCCAGATGTCCCAGGAGCTGCTTATGGGGTGCATTCACTCCTTCTTGGCTGTTGGGACTTGAGAGGGAGAAACTCAAACTACCTCTTTTCCATAAAAATATCGTACCTGGTGAAGAAGTGTGGAATTGGTTGAATGCCTCATGATTCTGGATGCTCTTGAGTTAAATTGGCTACTGAAAACAATCCAGAGATGGCTGGTACTCAAAGGCACACCAGATATTTTCAGGCAGTTTTGCACCTTATGTTCAGTTCAGTCACTCAGTCGTGTCTGACTCTCTGTGACCCCATGAACCGCAGCACGCCAGGCCTCCCTGTCCATCACCAACTCCCAGAGTCTACCCAAACCCATGTCCATTGAGTCAGTGATGCCATCCAACCATCTCACCCTCTGTCGTCCCCTTCTCTTCCTGCCCTTAGTCTTTCCCAGCATCAGGGTCTTTTCAAATGAGTCAGCTCTTCGCATCAGGTGGCCAAAGTATTGGAGTTCCAGCTTCAACATCAGTCCTTCCAATGAACACCCAGGACTGATTTCCTATAGGATGGACTGGTTGGATCTCTTTGCAGTCTAAGGGACTCTCAAGAGTCTTCTCCAACACCACAGTTCAAAAGCATCAATTCTTTGGCACTCAGCTTTCTTTTTAGTCCAACTCTCACATCCATACATGACTACTGGAAAAACCATAGCCTTGATTAGATGGACCTTTCTTGGCAAAGTAATGGCTCTGCTTTTTAATATACTGTCAAGGTTGGTCATAACTTTTCTTCCAAGGAGTAAGAATCTTTTAATNCTGAAGCCTGGCTTGGAGAATTTTGAGCATTACTTTACTAGCGTGGGAGATGAGTGTAATTGTGCAGTAGTTTGAGCATTCTTTGGCATTGCCTTTCTTTGGGATTGGAATGAAAACTGAACTTTTCCAGTCCTGTTGCCACTGCTGAGTTTTCCAAATTTGCTGACATATTGAGTGCAGCACTTTCACAGCATCATCTTTTAGGATTTAGTGAAGTGAAATTCACTTCATGTAGTGAACTCACCTCATGTAGTGAAGTGAAATCAAAAGACACTTGCTCTTTGGAAGAAAAGATATGACAAACCTAGACAACATATTAAAAGATAGAGAGATTGCTTTACCAACAAAGGTCCATCTAGTCAAAGCTACGGTTTTTCCCTTAGTCGTATGGATGTGAGAGTCGGACCGTAAAGAAAGCTGAGCACTGAAGAAATGATGCTTCTGAACTGTAGTGTTAGAGAAGACTCTTGAGAGTCTCTTGAATAGCACGGAGATCAAACCAGTCAATAATAAAGGAAATTAGTCCTTAATATTTATTGGAAGGACTGATCCTGAAGCTGAAACTCCAGTACTTTGGAAAAGACCCTGATGCTGGGAAAGATTGAAGGCAGGAGGAGAAGGGGACAACAGGGTGAGATGGTTGGATGGCATCACTGACGGGATGGACAGGAGTTTGAGCAAGCTCCAGGAGTTGGTGATGGACAGAGAAGTCTTGCATGCTCCAGCCCATGGGGTCACAAAGAGTTGGACGTGACTGAGTGACTGAACTGAATAGTGAAGTGAAAGTTGCTCAGCCATGTCCAACTTTATGCGACCCCACGAACCTGCCAGTCTCCTCTGTTCAAGGAATTCTCCAGGCAAGAATGCTGGAGTGGTTTGCCATTCCCTTCTCCAGGGGATCTTCCCAACCCAGGGATCAAACCCAAGTCTCCCACATTGCAGGCAGATTCTTTACCAGCTGAGCTACCAGGGAATCACCTCATATAGATAAACCCCAATTGGTTAAGTGATGTACTGAAGGTCATATGTCTCATTAGGGTTTGAACTTGTCTTCCAATTTAAAGCCTGTTTCTGACCTCATCTCTGCTCATCTCTTTTGAACTTCTGATGCTGTTTTCCATCCCTTCCTTCTTTGCTTTTGCCTTTTATCTCAGCATCTGTTACAGTTGATTCTCATTCTTTGAAAGTTACTTGCTTACACTGATTTGAGACCCCCACAAACTCAGGGCATTTCCACACTAATCTCCAGACATGGGCAGAGCAAGGAAAAATGCGAATCTCCTGATGCACCAGTTTCCAACTGAGGTCAAACAAGGCAACACTGCCTTCTTGTTTCAGCTTTTCTACTGTAAACATGTTTTTTTTTTTTTGCGGTCTCTTTAGAACCATGTTTGTCGACTTTTTGTTCTTTTGGTTGGTAATTTTGTTGTTTAAAATGGCCCTCCAGCATAGAGCTGAAAGTATGTCTTGTGGTCTTGAGTACAGGATGGCTCTGACATGCCTAATGGGGAAAACGTGTGTTCAATATGCTTCCTTCAGTCCTGGGCTGTAGTGCTGCTGGCTGTGAGTTCAGTGTGAATGAATCAACCATATACATTAAGTAAGGTGTCTTTAAACAAAGCCACACACAAGACAAGTTTGGGATTATGAGTTGAAAATGTGATCTGGGTCCTGCATTTCGCGTAGGAGCAGCGGTTCAGTGTTCGCTCACTCAGAGTTCACGATGTCTTGATGGAGCAGAACTGCTGTCAATAAGGAGAATAAACTCTGTTCTACTCGCTGCAGGTTTCCCTCCTTCCTCTTTCAGGCTTCGTCTCAGTCTCCTCTGGCCTCCTCCTCCTACCCCAGAAATCATCATGCCTTTCAAGACCCAGTTTTGACCTCTTCCTTGGGCTCTGCCAGCCTCCATGCCAACAGCCCCACATTCTGGCCTGTAACACCTTCCCAGTCATCCTCCCACATGGAGGTCAAAATCCTGCCCCTTGAGTCATAGACTCACAGGATCAGTTGATCCAGTGTGTTTACTCTGTTCCAGGACACATGCCAAGAGCAAGACCAACAAACTCCATGTCCTCTGGGGATTATTGAGAAAGACAGACAATGACAAAAAGAACAATAAATGCAATCAGTATGACCAAAGTCAAAACACAGGTGTCATGAGGCCATATAATTGGGAACTTTAATTGTGACTGGGGGGATTGGTTAGAGGAAGTGACATTTAGACTGGGAACAGAAATGGAGTAGGAGTTTATCAGCCCAAGAGAATGAGGAAAGTGAACAGGAGGGCAGGTGTGGTTAGAAACAGGGCTTTTGTTCTAAGATGTATATTTGGGCCCAGAACTGAGTTACTGGCGGTAGTCAGGAAGCTGCTAAACCCTGTCAGCAACCTCTCCTTGGCCCACCCACCATGTGATGCTCTGGCTCCACCCTAAGAATATTTACCAAAAGTCTGAAAACATCAGTTTGAAGAGGTACTGTCAAATTACTCTTGTGTTTAGGGGCACCAAATTATTTGCCTTGGTAATGATCACATGTATGGGGACTTGGTGTAAAATAAGACTGAGTGAGGAAGCTGATACTTTCCTGGGCTATAGGTGCTGGACTATCTTTGGTTGGTGCAATAATTCAAAACCAGTATCTTCTCCTTAAAATGTTTTTTTTTTTTTTTTTGAAGAGAGATCCTGATTGGCTGAAATCTTATTTCAAGCTCAATTGATAATTTTTATTTCAAGCCAAATTAATAATTTTCCTCAAATTCTTGGTTTATTTTACTTCATGAGATGATAGTTTGATAAGATAATTGATGATATAGTCAAAGACTGAGGATCTTGTGGAACCTAGGTCTCTTGGTGGAAGCAGAAGATGGAAGCAAATGTGCAGAATTTAATTCCTAAGTAGACCATGGACAGACAGAGGAGCCTAGCAAGGTCACATGATTTAGTGACTAAATAGCAATAAATATTCCCAGAACATCATGGGTGTTCTATAAATATTTGTTGAATGAATTTATGAACCTAGGAGATCCTATGACAGTAAAGATTCAAAGTACCAAGTCAAAGATGGAGCTAAGGTTTGTGTCTAGAACCACTTAGAAGGCAGCTACTATAGAGTTTGATTATGTTTCTGGGGTGGGGCTTAGACTTTAGAATTTTATCAAAGAATATGCTAAATGGACTATAAGAATTTTTATCTTTTAGCCACAACTGAACTGAAACAAAAGGGGTGTTTCATTGGCTCCTATAAGTGCAAAGTGTAAAGAGAGTAGTTGAGGTGGATCTAGGACTCTGCATCTCATTCTCCTTCCTTCCTCCCGACTCTGGGGTCCTCTGTAGTGACCTTGCTCTGAGGCACTGGCCTCTTCTCTCTCGGAAGTGGACCCAGCCCCTCTAGGCTGACACCACAATCTGGCTAGAGGTTCTGTCTCTTTTCAACAGAATCAACAAAAGTTCTTTCACTGAGTCTCATTGGCTCTGATCAGGAAATGGGCCCATCTCTCAGCCAATCGCTGTGGCCGGGGAAATGAGACACTCTAATTGGCCAGGCCTGGTCACATGCCCACCTCTGAAGGTAGGAGGGGTGGAGTCGCCTCTTACTTGAACCTGCAGACTGAGAGGGGAGAAGGGGGCTTTACTGGAAGAATGGGAATGCGTATGGAACCCTGGAACGGCAAATGTCAACCGAGGGGATATTTCATTGCCTAGTATGTTGCTGTCTCTTGAAAATGTGTTGTTGTTATAGCAGAGACTTTGCTTTCTAAATGAGAATCTGTTATGTTGATAATTTCCAACTATCCAATGGGATTGTTTGTCAGCACCAGTATTAGGTACTTTATACATAGCATTTCACTTACCTCTCCACCATACCCTTCAAAGAGTTGCTTGTTATTAGCCCATGTCCTGACTGCAGGGCTGAGAGAGGTTTACTAAATTGCCTGAGGCCACTCAGCCAATGGCAGAGCAAAGCTGTCTACTTACCTCCGTCCCTTTCCAAAGCCTCTTCTTTCCCTTCATCAGCACTTAACCCTGAAACAATGGTGCCTCTGTAGCCAGGTCTTACGTGCTGTTCTTTTCACAGTTCCTACGCCATTATAGACCCTCTGGGCTTTTCATTCTTAAGCAAAAATTGGTCTTTCCCCCCTACCCCCTGCCCATCACTCCATGGAACATAACAGTGACTTTGCTTTAATGTCTTTGGAAGAGCTACAACTCTGAAAGGGCAAGAGGGGCCTAGTTTGGAGCCTGAAGATGATCCATAATTATAAGGTAAACAGTCTTGCCTTGTCCCAGACATTGTGTACCCTGTTAGGAAACAGGCCGGCAGCCCAGAGAACAGTCACGGGTCTTTGAAGTCAAGCTTTGTTTGGTTTTCATTTTGTTGCTGTTCAGAACACAGCTCACTCTTAGCTGGTTTTCAAAAGAACCTTTTGAACTAATGAAACTTAGATAATAGAGTGTCACCTGGGAGTATATTGGAATCCAGAAGCCTGGGCTCTCCCCTGCCCCACGGGTTCAGGATATGAGGGGTAGGTCCAACATATGTACTTTAGCAAGCTCTCCATAGTTTTGCTACATCATAGCAACAGATGCTGGGTGAGCAGATCTTATACCTAGCAGGCATTTAAATATCCTTATAACATCCTGGGGGAAGAAATACCAAATCCAGCAAGTTTATGCCCACTCAACAAGGGATCTCAACCTCATGGTGCATATAGTAGATCCACTTGAACCCACAGGTATGGTTGCTTTAGTTGACAATACAAAACATTCCTGTTTTACTTGAGCTTGGATGAGTTTGTTCAGAAAGAGGGTGTATTCTTCACTTGTCTCAGCCCCACCCTCCTGTTATCTATCCCTGCTACTTTACACATTTATGTTATAGGCTTCTGAAGGTAAGTGCATTTCCACACTGAGTAAAGAGTAGGAGACAGGAGAGCAGAAAAGCCCAGTGGTTTCTCAAAATGAGAAGAAATCCTTGGTGCAGTGGGTAAGGTTGCAAGCCTCTGTCCTTGCTTAACCAAGTCACGTGAATGTTTCCTATGTCAAGAAGTGGAATTTTCCTCTTTCAAATAACTTATGAAATAGGAAATCCACTGTCATCTGGGGTGGCAGCTCATAGACTCTGGACCCATGGACTCAGAGCTCCAGAGAAGGAGCTCTGCCCAAGCTCCTTCACCCTCTCCTCTGCACCTGCCCTGCTGCTGACAAATATTTCATGTCTGTTTCCTAGCGGGCAGCCCATTCCTCAAGTGGAATACACGGAGGAAGAAAAGAAAACATGGGGGACGGTGTTCAGGACCCTGAAGTCCTTGTATAAGACCCATGCTTGCTATGAGCACAACCACATTTTCCCCCTTCTGGAAAAGTATTGTGGCTTCCGCGAAGATAACATTCCCCAGCTCGAAGAGGTTTCTCAGTTTTTGCAGAGTAAGTGCACATCCGGGTCAAAAGGTCGGGGGCTGGGGATGGAAAGGGGCAGAGAAGGAAATTTAGGCAAGTGTGAGTGTGTGCATGCTGATACAGGCAAGTTGATACTTCCAGGAAGATGAATATTTCACTGCTGGGCTCTGCCTCCCTGCCAGGCCCCACCAGTAGAACACTGTCACCCAAGAAAAGGCATCTGGTGTGGATTTTGCCATGCCTATATCCCTGAAAGGATTTTTTAATACTCAAAGCCCAAGGTGCCTAGTCAGGGTTCTCCCCACAGCTCCTGATATATTATGAGTTAGCTGCAGTGTGCATTTGGGTAAGAGATGCACTATTTGTGCCAAGAGATCTGAGCCCTAAGTCTATTCATCTGGTCTCTGGAATCTTGTTTTGATCCTCTCTAGTTGGGAGAACCTTCCTGAGTTTAGTCATTTGCCAAATGGAGACCATTCACCATTTAGTCTTTCTCATAGGGAAACTATGAGAATGAAATAAAATATTGAACACGAAAGCTTAGCGCTCATGTATAGTAGGTGCTCACTGAGTTTGGCTGCACTGGAATCTGAGTAACTCAGTAGGTAAACAGGTGATTGAACTGATCTGCCCATCATTTCAGGGGAGAAAATTATTTTCTGTTCTGCCAGGAGCTGTTGACTCAGCAAAACCAAGATAGACAGCTCAACACATGTTAAACACCTACCATGTGCTAGGTAAAATGTGGGAAATTAGGAGTCAGACCACAGGGTTATAGAAGGAAGAGTTTTCTATGCCTCAGAGCTATGCAGAGACGGTGTGGCCAGCTCTAGGAAAGGAAGTCAGGGAAGCTTCCTGGCAGGGAGGGAAGTGGGAGCTGGACTAGATGGGGAGTGAGTTGGATGACCTTTTGAACCCCTTCTATTTAGGGTCTTTACTATTCAGATAAAGAGAGGAGCAGGCTCAAGCAAAATGGACTTCAACCTGAGGGTCTAAGACACAGAAGCAGAGGGACAAAGGAATCTTAAAGATATTCTTTGGCTAATTACTTGCATTGCTATGGCCAATAACAAGAAGAATACAATAGTAATACTGTAGGGGTGTGTGTGTGTGTGTGTGTGTGCACTCAGTCATGTCTGACTCTTTTGCAACCCCAAAGACTGTAGCCCACCAGGCTCCTCTGTCCATGGAATTTTCCAGGCAAGAATACTGGAGTGGGTTGCCATTTCCTCCTCCAGGGGATCTTCCTGACCCAGGGATTGAACCCATGTCTCCTGCATTGGCAGCTGGATTCTTTACCACTGTGCCACCAATTGGTGGGGTGGCAGGTAGGGGTGGGAGAGAAGTATGTGCTAAGTCGTTCTAGTTGTGTCTGAGTTTTTGCAACCCCATGAGCTATAGCCCTCCAGGCTCCTCTGTCCATGGGATTCTCCAGGCAAGAATACTGGAGTGGGTTACCATGCCCTCCTCCAGGGGATCTTCCCAACCCTGGGATTGAACCTGGATCTTCAGCACTGCAGGCAAATTCTTTACCATCTGAGCAACCAGGGAAACCAATGGACTATATACTGCACCAGTACCTAGGAGAGAATTACAGTTCAATTCAGTCACTCAGTCATGTCTGACTCTTTGTGACTCCATGGACTGCAGCACGCCAGTCTTCCCTGTCCATCACCAACTCATGGGTTTGCTCAAACTCCTGTCCATGGAGTTGGTGATGCCATCCAACCATCTCATCCTCTGTTGTCCCCTTCTCCTCCTGCCTTCAATCTTTCCCAGCATCAGGGTCTTTTCCAGTGAGTCAGTTCTTCACATCAGGTGGCCAAAGTATTGGAGTTTCAGCTTCAGTATCAGTCCTTCCAATGAATATCCGGGACTGATTTCCTTTAGGATGGACTTGTTGGATCTCCTTGCAGTCCAAGGGACTCTCAAGAGTCTTCTCCAACACCCCAGTTCAAAAGCATCAATTCTTCAGCACTCAGCTTTCTTTACAGTCCAGCTCACATCCATACACGACTACTGGAAAAATCATAACTTTGACTAGACAGGCCTTTGTTGGCAAAGTAATGTCTCTGCTTTTTATTATGCTATCTAGGTTGGTCATAGCTTTTATTCCAAGGAGCAAGCTTCTTTTAATTTCATGGCTGCAGTCACCATCTGCAGTGATTTTAGAGCCCAAGAAAATAGTCTCTCACTGTTTCCATTGTTGCTCCATCTATTTGCCATGAAGCAATGGGACCAGATGCCCATTGGAGAAGACACTGGCAAACTACTTCAGAATTCTTGCCTTGAGAACCCCATGAGCAGTAGAAGAGAAGCATCGAGTAGCGATTATAAAAGCAAACTCTGAAGTCAGAGTGCTGGTAGCTGTGCCCTTGGGCAGAGCTTTAATCACTGCATCTTCTCAGCTCTCCTGTCTGTAAAGTGCAGAGAATAAGAGCTCTACCTCCTAGAGTTACAATGAGGATTAATTCATGTATATAAAGTACTTAAAACTGTGTCTGACACATGGTGGGTATTATACAGTGTTAACTATTACTATCATGATCATGGTCGTTACATTCTCCTTTCAAGTCTGAAATTAGGGAGACTGAGAGACAGATACAAGAGCCAGAGGATGGGTGATCAAAATGTCAGCTTTATTACTGATAGAAGTTGCTTCAAGAACGTGGTATAGATGTGTAGGCAAAATGGACTTTCTAATGTTTCACCCCTGGATTAGGTAAGCTAACTTGCCAATTAATTCACGGGCACAGTATCTAGTCCATTGGCTGGCCAAGAGCAGACAAGAATGTGTTCCTGTGTGGACAGTCAAGAGAGAAAGGGCAGAGAGGGTTAAGTTGAGAATATCCATTTTCTCTTCTCAAATCCTCAGTCAGAGAAGTCACTGTTCCTCATGGGGTGGACCTATATGTGCTATATGGAAAGCACTACAGAAAAGCTAGAAGTGGTCTTTTCATATTCTTCCCTCCTGGGAAGTGGAATGAAAATTCCCTGCTGCTCTGGAAACCTGAGAAGTAAGGAATAAATGTTCCACCCTAACAAACAATAATGAAAGTTTTGATTGATTGGAAGTTTCCATGTGCTAGACTCTAAGTCTTTTATACTTATTAGCTCTTCTGATTCTCAGAATAATCCTAAGAAATATCTCCCCACATTTTGCACATGCGACAACTGAGGCTCAGAGAGGTGAAGTTACCTGACTCAGATCACCCAGCTAGAAAGTACTAGGGCATAGATTTGAAGTCAGGTCTGCTGGGCGTCAGCGTCCGGGCTCTTGGCCAGTTGAATGTACTGCTTTCCTCCCCAGCCGTCTTCAGGCCCCTCCGGCTCCCTGTGACGGGCTCTGAGTTTTTTTCTCCTTTGCTTCCCAGGTTGCACTGGTTTCCGCCTCCGACCAGTGGCTGGCCTGCTTTCTTCTCGGGATTTCTTGGGGGGCCTCGCTTTCCGAGTCTTCCACTGCACTCAGTACATCAGACATGGGTCTAAGCCCATGTATACACCAGAACCGTGAGTACTGTCCTTTTGCTATCAGCTTCCAGCCACAATGAGTTCCATCTCACCCGGCTCCAGGAACAAGGCTGGGACCCACTGTGGGCTGGTCCACAGGACTCATTGCCTGCATTGTTTGATGATAGTGCAACAAGGGAATTTCATCTCTTCTGGGGATTTCCCTCATCCAAATAGACTGTACTGATTGGAGATTTAGGCATCTTCTGAATCAAAGGTTCAGATGAGAGAATGAGAGTTCACATTCAAATTCCAAAGGGATTGTAGAAAAGTCAGAGCTAGAAATGCCAAACTGGAATAGGAACAAGGGACACCCAGGCTGTCTCAACACTTCCTAATTCCTGGATCACATCTAGATGATTCTCATCTCTCTCTGCCTAGGTTGGATCTCAGCTGAAGATACAGAATGTCTGGCCACTATGCTTCTTATTTTTGCATGTAGCCATCTCCTTAGTCAGCTGGAACTGAAGTAGTTTATGTGAACAGTCAGCAGGATACCACAAATGATCTTTCCCGGCCTGCAAAATTCATTACTAGAAATCAGAAAAGACCTATTCCTAGTAAACCTGGCACCTAGAGTGTTAAGTAAATGTAAGTTTTCTTCTGTAACCAATGTCAGCCCCCTCCAGGATAAGAGAGGTGCATCATTACTATTATTATTGTTGTTGTTGTTACTGTTATTATTACTTCTACTATTATTGTTATTTAGTTCCCATGGAGAATAGCTGAGCATATTGTGTCTGTACAGGGATGTCAGTCCCAAGGAGAAGACTTGGGGTGGGAAGTGTTTGTGATCCGTGGGTCACTCGGGGGTATGGCTGCCCATAGGAGTCCTGGCTCTTTTGTTCTGCTTCCCACTGGGCATGCACTCAAAATCCCCTGGCCACTGTGCTCTGTCCTGTCCCTTACATTTCTTTTCCCTTCTTCTTTTTCTCTTGTATCTTGTTTCAGCTGATACCAAGCCTTACATACCCCTTATTCTTAGGAATGAGGTTATAAGACTGAATGAGTTGCTTGTTGCTTTCTGCCCATAGCTCATGTAGAAAAACTGAGTCCTGCATGGCTTATAACCCTCCTCCCCTCCAAGCTCTGTGCTTTTTGTTTTTCAGTGACATATGCCATGAGCTCTTGGGACATGTACCTTTGTTTTCGGATCGCAGCTTTGCCCAGTTTTCCCAGGTGAGCAATTAATTTCTCTCGCCTTCTAGTTACAGGGTGAGACCTGGATTGCTCAGATAAATTGAACCCATGGAGGGGCCCTCATGTCCTCTGTGAGGATGGAATCCAGATATAGTTCTGTGACTCCACCACAGGTGGGAATGTGGTCCCGTGGGGCAGGCTAATTACCAATTCCAGGGACCACAGCATGGAGCTGGTGATTTGGTCATCCTAGGAATTCTGTGTTATTGACTTAGCTAATTTCACCTGTCCTACTGAATGTAGTTTAAGAGCCTTTTCATCTGTGAAAACCTCCCAGATCCCTATGCAGAAGTAACCTTGCCTTCTTCCAAGTTCTCGTGGCATCTTTCCCCTCACATTTTGGGTCTTTGCCACTTTATACCTTATCAGGCAATAATTTTTGTATATGCTTTAAGTACGTAAGATGTCATTTGCCAAGATTCTAGTGCCAGTAGCCTGACTCACGGCAAAAAAATAAAGAGCCAGTTGCCTTCTCACCATCGTCAAGGCAGCAGGCTAAGCTTTGATTCATCTATTACAGTGGTGAGCAGGCTCAAAAATGCTTTTTGGATGAGTGAAAGAATCCTACAAAATCTCTTCCGGCACTGAGAGGCAGCCCAAACCATGGTTGGGCAACTGGGATGGTGGAGAGTGGAATGGTAGTGCTGTGTGGCCCAGGGCAAGTTGCCAGGCAACCCTGAGTCTCAGTCACCACAGATGTGGATCAATAAAGAGCCCTTCCTGATCATCTCCTTCCTCACAAGGAAGAATAACGATCAAATGGAATGACCTATGAGCAAATGCTGGGCCAAGCATGAATTTCACAGTAATGGGATTGTATGTGAATCACTTAAGCATCTTCCTTCAGCCAGAAAGAAAGAACTATTTCTACTCTTGAATGAAGAGGCTGCCACATGGTAGCTGAAACAAACAGAAAGCAAAATTAACTGCTTACTAAACAAGGAAAGACTGTACTTGTTAGACACAGCCTCTCTAAACAAAGAAAACTACTGCTTTTATGTGTTTTAGATGCTCAGTCGTGTCTGACTCTTTGCGACCCCATGGACTGTAGCCCACCAGGCTCCTCTGTCCATGGGATTCTCCAGGCAGGAATACTGGAGTGGGCTGCCAGTTCCTCCCCCAGGGGATCTAACAAACCAGGGGATTGAACCTCTGTTTCCTGTGCCTTCTGAATTGGCAGGCAGATTCTTTACCAGTGAGCCCCTTATGTGGGCTTGGAGGAATTGTGAAGTTCAGAGATTGTTGGACTTTTAGAAGTGGGAGTGTTTAGAAATTAGGTGAACCTTTGCTGTGGAAGTGTCACCACAGGAGTGGCTGACTTTCAGAAGTGTGGTTCCTGCTGCCAAGATGTCATAGATTGCTTTCGAACTAGGATTGGAAGTTTTTATTCTCATTACTAAAAGTTTTACTTCCCAGTCAGAGACTAAATGGCCATCCTCCTTAAGCCATTTCCATTTTGGGGATCCCCACAGCGGGGTTGGAAGTTACCTGAGTCAGCAGACAGGAGCTTCTGGCTCATCAGTGTTCCTGGTTCCAATTTTGACCTGGACAGTTCCAAAGCAGGGAGTTATTTTGAGTTCCCCGAGCATATTCTTTTTTGATCTAAAAGTAGGACTAGTTTCCCACTAGAGTGCAGGATGGAATGGGGTAAAGCACTTTGGGTTCCTTGTTTTGGGCAAGATCTAGACTCCCAAAGAATAGTGGCTATGAGAACAGGGAACCCTTTCAACCTTGCATTTATTGATGATGTCTTCTGTTAGACTTGGGTTTCCCAGGTGATGCAAGAGGTAAAGAACCCGCCTGCCAGTTCAAGAGACATAAGAGATGTGGGTTCAACCTCTGAGTGGGGAAGATCCCCTGGAGGAGGACATTGCCTCTCCTTAAAGAGATTTTTCATGGGTTGTGCATTTGGCCTGTACAATGTTCTTTCCTCAGCTATCAGCAGAGCCAATAACAGCCTTACTTCCATCAAGTCTTTGCTCAAATATCACCTTTCCAATGATGCTTTCAAATTTGTGGTGCTGGAGAAGATTCTTGAGAGTCCCTTGGACTACAGGGAGATCAAACCAGTCAATCCTAAAAGAAATCAACCCTGAATGTTCATTGGAAGGACTGATGCTAAGGCTGAAGCTCCAATACTTTGGCCACCTGATGTGATGAGCTGACTCATTAGAAGTGACCCTGATGCTGGGAAATATTGAGGGCAGGAGGAAAAGGAGTGACAGAGACTGAGATGGTTGGATGGCATCACCGATTCAATGGACATGAGTTTGAGCAAATTGAGTGAAGCACAGGGAAGCCTGGCATGCCTCGGTCCATGGGGTTGCAAAGAGTCAGACATGACTTCGAGATTGAACAATAGCAACACAGCAATTTGTTAAAATCATTCTGGGGCCTTATTTAAAATCACAGTCTCAGGTCTTTTCTTATGGTGCAGAGGTTAAGACTCTGCCTTCCAATGCAGGCATTCGAAGGTTCAATTCTATCCCTGGTTGGGAACTAAGATGCCATATACTGCAGGGCAACTAATCCCGCATGCCTGAACTAGAGAGCCTGAATGCCGCACCTACTGAGCCTGTAAGCAGACCCAATGCAGCCAAGAAAAAAAAGATGAAGGAAAGGGCAATCAAAGCCCCTGACCCCACCCCTGCTTCTCTGGCACTCTGGATCCCCCTTGTCCCTTTCTCCTTTTGTTTCTTCTTTCCGAAGAACTTATCACCTTCAACATACCTATGTATATGCTTGTTATTTACTGTCTATCCACTTAAATGTAAAGGTCAGGGATTTTTATCAATTTTGTACATTGCCTGTCACATAGAAGGCATTCAGTAAATATTTTTGGAATGAATGAATGCATATTAGTAGGAAAGAAATATATATATATGCGCGCACACCCACACCCACACCCCCCCCACACACACATATATATTTATATATATGCTCTGTCTGCTGCAAATCAGGCTGGAGCAAATGCTGTAAAAGAGACAGAAACCACTAGAGGCTTCTGAGTTGGGAGCTGTGATGAGAGGTGGCCCGTGACATCTCAGACTCTCCAGCTGTGCATATACCAGGACAGATGTCAGGAACTTCACAGCAAGTCTCCTATGGTGTCTTCAGGGGGCTTGATGAAGTCTCATCTAGTGCACCAGGAATATTCCACTTGTACTGTGGAAGGATAATGAGGACTTGAAACGTTAGACACAACATACCGTGTGACCTTGAGCAGGTCATCTCTTTACTCTGTGCCTCGGTTTTCTCTTTTGTAAAGTGAATAGAGGACTAGGCTTCCTCCATTCTTGAGATCTGTGATTCTATGAAGTGTGGTCAGGGAAGTCTTGACAGAACAGTTAGAGTGTACCTGGGCCCTTCTGAAGGTATCTAGTCACTCATCCCCTTCCTGTGGTCAAATACGAGGTTGGATCTGAGGGCCAAGGCTGAAGGTCAGCAGACCCCAGCCATGTCAGTGGCTGTTTCTCTGCCATTGCAGGAAATTGGCCTCGCCTCCCTGGGTGCCCCTGATGAGTACGTTGAGAAACTTGCGACAGTAAGTATCCTCTCTCCCTGCTGGCTGGTGGGAATGTCTCAGGTCTTTGAAACTTTGCTGTTTTCCTGAAAGCCAGATCATTTGAAAAGAAGAAATAATCAGAATGCCTTGCTTACTTTTGCACAAGTGACATTTCACATATTGACTTCTTGGTGGTTTGATTTTGAAATCAACTACACACAGATGTTTCCATGTAACTTTAAACAGTATGTCTTAAACTATCATTACAACAGGCTGTAATGATAGTCGTTGGGAACCCCCTTGAATGGGTGGGAAGTAGTCTAGATTCACATCTTTGAAGAGGAAAGTATTTACTTTCTACCTGGCGCTGGGGCCAGCATGAGGATCTTTCCTTTCTCAGATCCGAGGTAAAAGTGGGAACTGGGCTCTGCCTTCTAACCAAACACTCTCTGCCACAGGGGGTGACAACTCTCATCCATAGACACTGTGGATGAGCAACTGCGGGGCAGGGCCTCCTTCCTGTAGACCCCCTTCCAACTTGACCGACGCACTCCTAACCTCTAAGCCACGTTTTTTATAATGTGCTCAGCTTGAAAGATAGGAAATAAAACTTTATAGTGGAATTAGGGACTTCAAATTAATGCACACATATCATTCAGTTCAGTTGCTCAGTCGTGTCTGACTCTTAGCGACCCAATGGACTGCAGCACTCCAGGCTTCCCTGTCATTATGATATATCAGTTTAGAAGTTTGTGAATTTATGAGAAGGTTGAAACCTCCCAGATCCTTTCTCACTGCCCAGCTGCTCTGAGACCCCGGGCAAGTGGCTTTTGCACCCTCATTTCTAAAAATGGATACAATTGTTTATACCGTTTCCATCTCAAAAGTACATCATGAGGATCTTGAGGATCAAAAGAGTTAAACTTGTGTGGATGTGAGTTTTTAAAAGCCAGATGCTGTGGTGATACAAAAAGTGACTTTCAAAGAAACTGCAGAACTTGATAGAATTTCTCAGTTGTAAGAAAAAAAAAAACTGAAATACACAGCATTAAGTTACTTGCTGTAATTGTGATAAAAATATTCATCACCAACCTAGCTTCTCAAAAACAATCTTATTATTGATATACTGATCTGGCAATAGTCTTGGGGCCCTTGCTCTGCCTTGAGATGCTGTGTCACTGTATGTATGTAACTTCACCTCTCTGGGCTAAAGACGTCTCATCTGTATGTGAGCTCAGACTGGCTCAGTCTGACAGCCTTCCCAGGTTTCATGTTCTCTAGTACAATAAATAGACTTACCTAGAAACCCTGGGCCTTGGCTTTCTCTTGGCCCTATTCAGTAGGAAAGAAAGTGAAAGTGGCTCAGTTGTGTCCGACTCTTTGTGATCCCGTAGACTATACAGTCCATGCAATTCTCCAGGTCAGAATACTGGAGTGGGTAGCCTTTCCCTTCTCCAGGGGATCTTCCCAGCAGGGATCAAACCCAGGTCTCCCACATGGCAGGTGGATTCTTTACCAGCTGAGCCACAAGGGGAGCCAGAGAATCCTGGAGTGGGCAGCCTATCCCTTCTCCAGCAGATGTTCCTGACCCAGGAATCGATTCTAGAACCTTATTTCCCAAGCCATTTATCTGGGCCATGTTGCACTGGGAGCTATTGAAGGAAAAGACTTGGTTATTTGGGAGGCTGAGTGCAGTGACTGACAGGGGTTTAACACAGATTGTTGCATGGTGGGGATACTGAATAATAACCTTAGAACCGAGAAGGAAATTTGAGGCCAAATAAGGAAGCAGATAGCTCAATAAAATGCAGTGATGAAGTTTACTGTGGGTAACTGACACAGGAAAGGGCGGGTAGACAGCAGCCAGAGGCTTTGGCAACCACACTCTATGCCATGAAAAGGGTACAGTGGGGCTAAAGGGGTCAACACTACTAAGATCCAGTGCAGCCAAATTAAAATTGATTAGTTAATTAACTAAAGGGGTCAAAGCTAAGGATAGAATCTGATTACTAAGGGAGAAGCAGGTTCACACTGTCAGGAGTTAGGGGTTCCCCCCCCCCCGGAAGGTCTCATGACCATTAATCCTTGTGAGGCATTATCCATCTGCCTCAGCAAAAGTGTTCATATGTCAGATGAAGATTCTATATTGGATAAGAAGGGTAAAAGTTGATGAGGAACTTACCTGGCGCATTCCTTGTGAATAGACTGAAGCTCAACCTTACAGAAAAGAAAGGGGTTAGGACTTCAGGCTTACATGGAGCTGACAAAATGGCGTTGGTGTGGTTCAGTCACAGAGATAACAGGATGTACTCCCTCACTGATTCTATCATGACCAGATTCCCTACCTCCCACTGAGCCTGATGGGATTGTCTGGTAACTCCAGCCAACTTGGGGGAGCAACTCCATCTAGCCGATGCCACAGAGAAGAAAGCAGAGAGGGTGGAAGAGTTCCTGTCATAGAGAGTGGCTTGTTGGGGGTACCCTTTGGGGGGCTTCCTTAATACTCTCCCACCACTTCCCATCACATCTTGCAGTCAGTTCAGTTCAGTTCAATCGCTTGGAGAAGGCAGTGGCACCCCACTCCAGTCCTCTCGCCTGGAAACTCCCATGGACAGGGGAGCCTGGTGGGCTGCAGTCCATGGGGTCACTAAGAGTTAGACACGACTGAGCGACTTCACTTTCACTTTTCACTTTCATGAGTTGGAGAAGGAAATGGCAACCCACTCCAGTGTTCTTGCCTGGAGAATCCCAGGGACGGGGGAGCCTGGTGGGCTGCCGACTATGGGGTCACACAGAGTTGGACACGACTGAAGTGACTTAGCAGCAGCAGCAGCAGTTCAATCTCTAAGTCATGTCCGACTCTTTGTGACCCCATGGACTGCAGCATGCCGGCTTCCCTGTCATCACCAACTCCTGGAGCCTGCTCAAACTCATGTCCATTGAGTCGGTGGTGCCATCCAGTCATTTCATCCTCTGTCATCCCCTTCTCCTCCTGCCTTCAATCTTTCCCAGCATCAAGGTCTTTTCCAAGGAGTCAGTTCTTCACATCAGGTAGCCAAAGTATTAGAGTTTCAGCTTTAGCATCTTGCATTCAGCCAACTCTTAATTCAACAGGTAACTGGATAGGCTAAGACATAGCACAGGAAACCACGACCCCAGGTCAGGCTGATTCAGAGAACAGACCTGCACAAACTCCCACCAGGACACCTTGTCTCTGGCCCTGGGTCACCTGCTGCTTCCTTGTGTACGCTTTCAACTTGACTTTCCATTTCAGATTTACTGGTTTACTGTGGAGTTCGGTCTCTGCAAGCAAGGAGACTCCATAAAGGCATATGGTGCTGGGCTCCTGTCATCCTTTGGTGAATTACAGGTATGAACCGAATAGGAACCATGGATGGATTTGAGAGTGATAGGTACAGCAGACCATTCATTTTCCCTTTGTGCTGTCAAAACCCTCTTACATCCACTTTGAAACTAAACCTCAGGGTTTCTCCTCAAGTGATTGACCTCTTACCAGCTGTGATTTGGTTGTGACTGTGGGTTTTAGAGATTGAAATTGAACTGCAGATACACAGGTCTCCAGACCAGAGGGGCCTCCTGAATCTAGGGTTGAACTATGCATTGGGACACAGGCAAACACATGCCAGAAAATGTGGCTGCTCCCACACCATCTGTTGATCACCTTACCTGAAAATGGTTGGGGTAAAATATTCCTTTTGATCCTGATTGCTCTCTAGTATGTGCAAAATAATTTAGTTCACCTGCATTGGGACTAGGGTATGGCAGGAATCAGGATAAGGTGGGAAGGGATGCACAAATAGGGGATGAGGCAGGGACCAGCAGCGCTGACTTAACCATGACGACTTTCCATTTGGGACCCGCAGTATTGCCTATCAGGCAAGCCGAAGCTCCTTCCTCTGGAACTGGAGAAGACCGCTGTCCAGGAGTATACGATCACAGAGTTCCAGCCTCTTTATTATGTGGCTGAGAGTTTTAATGATGCCAAGGAGAAAGTGAGGTGAGATGGTAACCAAGCTAGGCCAGCAGCCCTTGGGACCTCCTGACTCGACCTGGTGCCGCTTGTCTGTGGGAGGTTGGGCAGGAGAATGGATTTCAGTGCCTACAGCAGCGGCGTGCGTCAGACAGTATTCTCTCCCCACCCTGTCTCTTTCCACTCCCTGTTGAGAGAAGTGCCTTCCTTTACAGGACCCCGTTTCATAGCTTATTAGCCGAACATGATGACCCCTGCAGACAGGCCTACCACCTTATCCTTGCTCAGTGCGGCCACCAGGCCCACTGAACTCTCATATGTTCAGAGCAGCTGCAGACGTCCCCCCATCAAACAGCACTAGACATTTTCTCACCCAGGGGAGTCCTTTGCCACTTTATTCTCCCACATACTTGCATAACTCCCTCCCTCCCCTCTCTTCAGCCTTTACCCACATTTAACCGTTTTTGTGTGTCTTTCTCTAAACAACTTGCTTAAAATCAATACCCAGCCCTGTCTCCCACCCCCACCCCCCACTACTCATTACTAGCTCTGTGATTTACTTTTCTCCTTAGCACTTATTAATGTCTAAAATCTTGTGTGATTTAAGGTCCCTGAGGATAGGGGATTTTGTCCTTTCTGCTCTTTCCCCCTACTTCAAGAGCAGTGCCGGACACCTAGCAAACACTCAGTATTGCTATTGTTCAGTTGCTAAGTCATGTCAGGCTCTTTGTGACTCCATGGACTGCAGCACACCAGACTTGCTTGTCCTTCACTGTCTCCTGGAGTTTGCTCACACTCATGTCCATTGGGTCGTGATGCCATCCAACCATCTCATCCTCTGAATCAGTGAGTAACTGGCAAATGTGCCAATCTCAGAGGCAATTCAGCACCAGGCTGGTGGAGTGGTACCAGGACTCTGAGACTCAAAGCTCCCCGAGAAGATGGCCCTGCCATCAACCTGCCAGAGCCATACTGCTCCCAGCAGGTGGTGGGCTGGACAGAGGGTCTACTTATACAGGGCAGCCATGATTCCATTTTTACCACTTCTTTTGTTGTATCTTAGCAGTGATGTGTAATAAATGTAAGTCCTACAGGCTTCTGGAATCCCTGAAGCTGGGCATGTCAGCTTTGAATGCACCGGGCTTAGGTAACCAACAGTAAAATGGTAGCCCACAAATGCACTTTCTTTGACCCCAAATGACTCCCTCCGCTCTTTTCTCCAGGGCCCTTAGGTCCTTCCTGCCATTCTTTGCCATTTTTCTCCTAAATTTTCACCCTTACTGAGAACCTAGGCTTTCTGTGGCCCTAAAGGTTCCACTCTGCCATTCCTGGAACTCCTTTAGGGTTATGGATTTTCAGGAGTTCATGCATTATTCCACCAAGGTAATTATAGTTACAGGTAAGGTGGCCCAGACAGTAAAGAATCCACCTGCAATGAACGAGACATGGGTTCGACCCCTGGGGTCGGGAAGATCCCCTGGAGAAGGGAGTGGCTACCCACTCCAGTATTCTTGCCAGGAGAGTCCCATGGACCGAGAGCCTGACGGGCTACATGCCATGGTGTCACGAAGAGCTGGACACATGTGAGTAACTAACACTTTCACTTTTCAAGATGCCTAGTAGCTATTTTGTACCAAACATTGTTCTCAGTGCTTTTCAGATATTAATTCATTTAGACCACAAATTGCAGATAGGGGTGTAGAAACATTGAAGGGGTAAGTAACTCCCTCAGCATCACACAGCTAGTAAGTGGCCGGCCCAGAGTTTGGACTCAGGCAGTGGAACTCAGAGCTGGTACTCTTAACTGCTGAGTTGCACTGAGATTCCCACATGAACAGGCCGTTCTGGAGATGACTCTCTCACTCAGGGAGTGATCAGCCTCAGGCCAACAGGGAAGACCTTGCCAGGACATGGGCCTCTCTTTGAAATCCCACCTGCTCTGCTAATGTCTGCTTCCCCTGATGACTTGGTGGTAAGGAACCTGCCTGCAATGCAGGAGACGCGGGTCCATTCCCTGGGTCAGAGAGATCCCCTGGAGGAGGAAATGGCAACCCACTCCAGTATTCTTGTCTGGAAAATCCCGTGGACCAAGGAGTCTGGTGAGCTATATAGTCCATGGGGTCACAGAGAGTCAGACATGACTGAGTATGCACTCACTCACTGCTAGTGTCTAGAGCCCAGAGGAGACACAAAAGCTCTCATCTGCTGAGAGCTGGCTCACAGAACGAAAGATAATTCAAAAAAGGAAGGGATCTGAGCACCTCTGGGATACCCTCAGAGCATCCCAACTAAAAGAAACCGATGCCAACCATTTTCAGTTTCAGTATTCAAATTCTAGCAGAGACAGGGCTGAGTTTGTTCACACACCCGCTGCTTGACCTGAGGAGCACTAAGTGGGCCTCAGACTGACAGCCCAACTCATATATCTCCAGTGGGGGAGGTCGAGTCCCCAAAGAAAAAACAAGCTGCACCCTGGAATGAGGGACGAGGGGAAGAGCAGGCAGAGTCACAGGTGTCTACTGCTTGGTTCATGTCACCAGCTGGACTGAGAAGGCTTTTTCCAAAGAAGAGATGGGGCAGGATACTTAACCACTTATTCTTCATGCATCCCCAGTCACTAAGAAAAGATTCCTCCCAGGCCCAGGAGTGATGCACCAGGCAGGCAGGGAAGTGAGGGGCCCAGGCCAGATTCAGACTACCTGTATTCTTTCCCTTTTTTATAATGTGTTGCCAGCATGGCCTTAGTAGTTATTTAGCTTCCTCAAGCCTCAGTTTCCTCATCGTAAAATGGGAATAGTAAAATGGTACCTTCCTCTTAAGGTTTTTATGAAGGCTAATTTAGTAAATAGTTAATAGTTAGTTAATAGATAATAGTTGTTAAGAGTATAAAACAGTTGAAACTTGCTCTAGTTCTCAAACGTAGGAGGCCCTCAATCCATGTTAAGTTTCATTCATAGTGTTGTCTTCAACTTTGAGAACCATGTTTTCCTTCTTTGCCTTGATGATCAAGCATCTTAGAGGTTTTTTCCCTTCTATAACATTCTTTGGCTAGATTTTACTTACTCCTTTTATTTTATTTAATGATAAGAATTTGGCCTTATTGTATACTGTGCTTTTATTGTAAGCTACTTCTGACATTTTGGAGGCATGTGCATAAGTGTGTTTGTTTATACACAGACACACCTACCACATACAAAGGCTTCCCAAAGAGGACCTAAAACTCCATTTCACTTCTCAGCCCAGTACTAAAGCCCCTGGTGAGGTTTCAATGCTACTAATAACCAAGTGAATGCCACTGAAAAATCTTTTTAAATTACTTTCCTCCAAATGGTAGCCTTCACTCAGACCTATGATTTTGGTTTCAGGAACTTTGCTGCCACAATCCCACGGCCCTTCTCAGTTCGTTACGACCCATACACTCAACGGATTGAGGTCTTGGACAACACCCAGCAACTTAAGATTTTGGCTGACTCCATCAGTAGTAAGTAACATACACCCTCTGAGGCCATTCTCATATAGGATTGTGTTTTCTTACCTTCCTCAGAGGAACAGTAAGAAATGTATTAAATATTTAAGAAAAACATTTTCAGGGAAGCTACTGACTTATTGAGAGAGAAAAACTGAGCAGTAAAAAGCCAGAATTGCCTTGAGTGTCCTCTCTGCTTTGACCTTCCTGGATCCCACCCCACCTCCTATGACCCACCACCTTTCCACCCTGGCATGTTGCTGCCACATTCCCCTTTCTCTTTGCACTTTCACCCCTTCCCCTCTAAGTGTCCACTGGACCTTACTCTGCCTGGAATCCCAGCTCCTAAGGGTAGATTTTATCTACTTTATCAATCACAGAGCAGTTCATCCATTGACCTTTTATTTTTTCTGGACAACAAGATTATTATAATAGTTGTTCTTAAAAAGTCATTGTGCTATTATGTTCATCTCCTAATTCTTTCTAGCCTTCAAATTCCCCTCAAGCAACACTGACCAGCTCTTAGTTCCCATGCATTCCCCTGGCCTTTGCCCATACAGTTTTTGTTTAAAATACTCTCTTTACCACTCCTGTTTAGGGACCCCATCCCAGTTCATCTTTCAATTGTTCATACATATCTCTTCTTAGGGTAAGTCTGGTTTGGGTGTCCCTCCTAGGTCTTGGCCTTCCCATAGATCCCTCTCTCAGAGCACTTATCATAGGTTTTTTATTTTATAATTGTTTGCTTGTCTGTCTCCCCAACTAGACTTGAGCAGAGGGCCATGTCGGGTTTGCTGTCAAATCCCCAGCAGTTAGCCATATTCCGAAAAATCATATTAGGTACTCAAGAACTATTGAATGAATGGACAAAACCACCCAAGGATCAAGCTTTAAAGGGAGAAGTTCTAGTCCAAGGGGTGGGGAGTGTCTGTCTGTAAAAACGTGCTAAGAAAGGCCGGAAGGGCTGATGGACTTGGCGTATCCCTCTCTACCCCTGTGACGTTGCCTGAGGCCACTGCTAATATGCAGAACTAGCCCATTATACTGGTTTCCATCAGGTATGGCCTCCCTCCCATAATGAGCCATTGTGATAAAGTCCAAGGCTCATTCCCTCCCATAGATCCCATCTTGAACACTCAGCTGGAATAATCTGTTCACCAAAGAGGCCAGCCACGGGCTCTGGAGGCTGGGGTGTGAGAGAGGAGGGTTAGGCCGTAGCCGTTTTCTCTCTCTCATTTCCCCTGAGAAAGTGAAAATAATTTCAAAGACTATTATTTATAAGAGGTTTCTAAAAATCACTGACTAACAGATTTAGGAACTGGAGGGTCCTTAGAGTTTTGTGACCTTATATGAGGCCCCATCATCTCTATACTGTCCTCAGGATCTAGGCAGGAATAAGGCTGGTCTGTCTCCAAGTCCCCTTCCACTTCTATGAAGAGTCTGTGTCCTTGTGGCCCCTTGGCTTGTGAGAATCTGGCATGAATGAAAGCGACTCCATCATACCTTACTTAGTCTGGTGGTCTGGCAATCTAGGCTGAGTTCTCTGCTTAGACCATGCCTTCTCAAACCTCGTGTGCCTCAGAATCACTTGGAGAGCTAGTTAGACATGGATAGTCCTGAGTTGTACTCCCAGATAAATTCCCTGAATGTGTGATATGAGTCAGGGATTTGTATTTGTAATGAAGCCCCAGGGAATTCTGACATGGAGTGGGGGTGGGGGGCAACGTGAACCCTACTTTTAGGTCCTGTGGCTTAGCCCTTTACAAGCATCTGTGGATGGTCATGTGAAAAGGAAACAGAAAAGCTAGTGATTTCCCTGGGGAGAAAACTATTACCTCCTTCACTGAGAAACAGACAATGGAAAGAGGAAGCGTAATTACATTAATAGCTCTTTAGCAGTTCCTACAACTTGGAATCATCTGTAATGGATCAGATTTTATCACCCTAACTAAGCTATCAGCTCCTTGAAGGTCGGGGTAGTTCCTAGTGTATGCACACACCCCACTGATTCCCTAACCTTTTACACACTGCAGACACTTGAAGGGTGTTTGTTCACAGTATGAGTGGCTCCTTTGTTTTTCTTTGTAGGTGAAGTTGAAATCCTTTGCAGTGCCCTCCAGAAATTAAAGTGAAGTCACAGACAGAGCCTAAACTGAGAATCTCTCGATGGAAATCCAACTGCTTCTTTCATTTCATCTTAAAAAGTGTAAAAAACAAGTCTTAATTCAAAATGAAGCCTTAAATCCTTTCGAGAGCAAGATGGTGGGTCAACAAATAAAATAATCTGAAATGACAGCATATTAATAATACCCCAAAGCATAATGATGGGTCTTTTGGGGTCATCTGTGATTTAGAGATGATAATCTCATACTCTGAATTGAATTAAAAATCAATAACCTGTCACACTTCATCAAAGTTAATGAAAATTTGGGACCTGCTTTATTCAACCTTCCTAAATACTTTCATTATTTGCTGTAGAGAATTTCTAAAGGGATATATATCCCTCACTGTGAAACACAAGCCTATCAGAATTGAATTTCTGGATTTAATATAAATTTTAGCCTACAAAAGTCATTTTCTGTTTCAGGGAACTACGATTCTACTTACGGCTTTGTTATTTTGCCTACGTAGATTTTCTTTAATTCAGAAGCCTATTAAAATCAATACAAATATTAAAGTTCATAATGTACTATCAAAATATTTTTGTGTTTTATTATCATCATAAACACTGGTATGGAAGGCGGTAGAACTCTCCATCTGATTCAACTTGCAGTTTCATTTTCCAATCAATCGTCAAGTCTGTTTTGGGAGACATTTTGAAGACATTTAAGATGCAGTGCATACATGCTAAGTCACTTCAGTCATGGCTGACTTTTTGCAACCACATGGACTGTAGCCCACCAGGTTGCTCTGTTAATGGGTTTCTTCAGGCAAGAATACTGGAGAGGGTTGCCATTTCTTCCTCCAGGGGATCTTCCTAATCCAGGGATAGAATCCAAGTCTCTTAAGTTTCCTCTATTGGCAGGTGGGTTCTTTACCACTAGCACCGCCTGAGAAGCCCCTTTAAGATGCAATAGATGTTAATTAAAATCCCAGATGGTAGATTTTCAGTAAATATTCATTGAATGAATAAGGGAATACATTTATTAAACAGCAAATCTTCAACAAATGTGAGAATTTAAAATACATTAAAAGGCGAGGGTGGGATGTTTCGAGAGAACAGCATCGATATGTATATTATCTAGGGTGAAACAGATCACCAGCCCAGGTTGGATGCATGAGACAAGTGCTCGGGCCTGGTGCACTGGGAAGACCCAGAGGGATCGGGTGGAGAGGGAGGTGGGAGGGGGGACCGGGACGGGGAATACATGTAAATCCATGGCTGATTCATGTCAATGTATGACAAAAACCACTACAATATTGCAAAGTAATTAGCCTCCAACTAATAAAAATAAATGAAACAAACAAACAAACAAAAAACATTAGTGGTTTCTCAATTTTGTAGTTTCTTGGAATGAAATAATCCTCTCATTGCCTTAGAAATATATTAGCTGGATAAACTTGTAATGTGAAAGAATGATCAGAGTTTCAGATTTCCCACCCCTTGCAGGGGATCATTGTGATGATCTAAGTCAAGTCTGGGCAGTTGACAGATTTTGACTTTTGTTGGTTGCGCATTTTACGTGACTATACAAATATAAGAAACAGCGGGGGAAAAGCAGTGTCTTAAAAGCTTTGCTTCGAAATTCTCACACCACTTTATCATTTTATCATGGAAATAGTTAAATCGTCAATGATTTTTGTAATACTTCTGCAAGTGTGATTCTTAGACCAGTTGTATCATTATCAACAGTAAATCAGAAGCACAATCCCAGCCTTGTTGTTCAGTTGCATCTGACTCTTTGCAACCCCATGGACTGAAGCACGCCAGGCTACCCTGTCCTTCACCATCTCCCTGAGTTTGCTCAAACTCATGTCCATTGAGAGTCAGTGAAACCATTCAACCATCTCATCCTCTGTCCCTCGCCCGCTTCTCCTTCCCTCACTTTTCCCCGGCGTTAAGGTCTTTACCCAAGTAGAATATCTGGGGATGGGACACAGAGACCTGTGTTTTTAAGCACTCCAGTTATTCTCTTATGCCCAGCCACATCTACTGGGTACCTCAAGTTTGAGAAGCCCTGATTTCTGGCGGTCAGTTCTGCCGCTTGCTAATGATGTCACCTTGCATAAGTCACTTCTCCTCTTTGGACCTTGGGTTTACTCTGACAATGAGGAGTTAAACTGGATGAATCAAGATCCCTTCTGGCCTTGAAATATAATTCAAATGCTAACTTGTGTCTTTAAACAGCTGTCACTAATCTGCTAATAGGGTGTAATAATACCCGCCCAAGTATGCCAGATGGGTGGAAAGAACAATTTGGTCTGAATGTGTCTGAGGTTTCATTGCTTTGAAAGGGGGATTTTCTTTTCTCTGTTTCCTCATGCCTTAGAAGAACTCCTTGACAAGCTCTGATTCTAAAACTGGAAGTGGACTTTTTCTCTGGTGTTCATCTAGGGTTCAAGTACCCTGCAAAGGAACTGTTTTGATGACTTTTTTTTTTTTGCTCTGTTCGGTTGCTAAGTTGTGTCCAGCTCTTTGCAATCCCAAGGACTACAGCCCACCAGGTTACTCTGTTCATGGGATTTTCCAGGCAAGAATACTGGAGTGGGTTGCCTTTTCCTTTTTCAAACTGTTTCTTTACTTCACATTAAATGTAAGTTAGAACATTTCTTGATTTTGGTACTGGGATATTATAAAGTATCTTATACTGACTATTTTATTTTATAGTGATTTTTAGTCCTACTGAAGATAATTTAGTGTGTTCTAAGTGAAAGCTTAGGCAGGAAGAAATTATGTACTGGATGGAAGCTAGTCTCTGAAATTTTCATGTGTTACTCAGTACTTAGCTTCTTTCATCTAGATATAAAAGGTACAGCAATTGGATTCAGTATATTTCCATGTGTTAGTATTATTATTTGTTCAACATGCAGTAAATAAACAGTTTTTAAGGAAGCAATAGTAATGTTTTACTGACAGCTAATCTTGCGATGTCCAAACAAAAGAAATATATGGAAGAATATTAAAATTGTGTAGTATTAGTGTTCAGTAAGTTTCTGAAAGGAGGAAACTAAATTTTAATTCTAAATTTCTAAGTTATATCATTTAGTTGTGCTTCAGAGAATCTACCACTAAAATATCATCTTCATGAAATCAAGAACCTTTGTTATCTTTTTCACCACTGGAAAGCCTGGGCATGTTACACATGGTAGGTGCTCAATACTCTTTAATCTTTAAAACTTTTTCTGAGTTTAATCACAAAAAGTATAGTGAGATTGTCTCTCACAAACTATTTTGCAAGAAAAATTTGAGAACAACTAAATTTGTGATTTCCCCTTTTAAAATCTATTGAAAAATATTACTCTAAGTTATGACTTTTTAAAAGAAAAATATTATCTCCTGTTTAAGCTAGGTTATGGCTAGGTAGTTTGTATCTTATACTACTTCAACAACTGACATTTAGAAATGCTTGTTGTTGCTTAGTTGCTAAGTCATGTCCAACTCTTTCGCAACCCCTTGGACTGTAGCCTGCTAGGCTCCTTTGTCCATGAGATTTCCCAGGCAAGAGTACTGGAGTGGTTTGCCATTTCCTTCTCCAGGGGATCTTCCCCACCTAGCGACTGAACCTGCATCTCCTGCTTGGCAGATGGATTCTTTACTGTCTGCGCCACTAAGGAAGACTTTGGGAGTGCTTAATAAATGTCAATTAATAAAGGGGGAAAAATGCATTGGTAAAACTTCAGAGTTATCCACAGTGGGGCTGAAATGGTCAGAAAGCAATAAGTGACTTGTCTAAAGATTGCAAAAAATCACAGGAGACAAAATAAGAAAGCTTAGTAAAATATGGACTTTTCAAAATAAGAAGGAAAAAATGTGATCAAAACTTTCCCTTCTCAATGAAGTCTGCACACACACACACACATGATCACTGCCTTTTAATAGCTTTCCCATTCAGTTTCAAAAGCTATAAGCTATAGTAGATTTGATACATGTTAGAAATGAAACTAGTAGTTTCTGTGCCTTGAATTTTTACCTAATTTATGCTCTTTTAACTTTGCTAGCTTCAAGGCACAATTTACCTTTTAACCTGTAGTAAGCACAATTATTTTAAAAGAATAAGTTCAGAGTGATAAGCAATTGCAGAGAAAATTGATTCTAGCTCTTCAGGATCTATACAACTCACCTATAACATTATTTATAATTGTTTGGGGTTATTCTTTAACAATATTTGTTTTATATGTCTCTTGCACACTGTTTCTTTTATGATAACAATCTCTGAATAACAGAACACCTATGAAAAATAAAGAGACAAAATGTACTTCATTGAGAGATGGACCTGAGTCTCCCAAAAGAAGGCGATGATACTGCAAGAAGAATAAAACCTGCTTGTTTCCAGGTCTGTCTAAATGGGTAAAATGTTAACGGTGATTCACGTAAACTGCAGTGTGGTTTTTTTTCTCAGATCATTCTTAGGAGGTAGGTGATGCCCCAAAATCAGTTTCTTTCATTGAGGTTATTAAAATTAGTACATGCTTTGGATGTCTATAGTTTATTCTTCCCAGAAGCAAATTAAAGACTATCTATTAAGGAAGAAATAAACTTAAGTCTTCTCTGAGGCTTCTTTATTCCTACACGTTTTCAAGAAATGTCAGCTGCATCCTGACCTTTTCTGCAATCACCTTTCAAATGGAGAGAGTGTTGGCAAAACGCTTACTATCATTGTTCCTTGTGAGTTGTCAGGGGAGAGTGGAGTTTAGACTTAGAAAGAAATGATAAGGAATGTACATTCCTTTGTTTTCAGTTTTTCCCTTATGGCTCTCTTTTCAAAAATGTGGCCCTTGGGTTTCTTTGAAAAGAATCTCATACTATCACACACACACACACACACACACACACACACACACACACACACCCCATTCCTTTGACCTCTAAGAGACTTTACAAAAGATGAGTTGGGGGCTGAGTTAAGGTCTCTGCAGATAAAGGCATGCAGGACATATTTGAGGGTGGGGGGAGCATGTTTTAAAGCATTTCTTTGAGAGCCTCCAGCCATTGGCACCACCCAGAAGGAGAGAATCAGCTTGGAGCACAGCAGTACTTGCAATGGGTAACTGTTGGCCTAGTAAGGCTTTCAATTGCCTCTAGCATTCAAATACTCCTCCTGCCCACCAGCACTAAAACAGTGGAGCCTGCTAAGTTCCATTTCTTTGGCCTAAAAAAAAACCAAATTTCCAAATGAAAAATGAGGAAGCTGAACCTTTCCCAAACTTCCCATCCTCAGAATGCCCTTGAGAAAGGGAGGGAGACAAGAGGCTCCCGTAAGAGTGTCACTTGGGGGAGAAAATAATTTCCCAGTGCACAGGGACGTCTGGGATTACAAAACAGCAGATGACAGAACCGGGGTTTTATGAACATGACGTGCCAAATAAGAGAGCTCAAGTGTGCCTGAGGTTGGAGTGGAGAAGTGCATGCTAAGTCACTCATTTGTCTCTGACTTTGCAATCCTATATAGACTGAAGCCCACCAGGCTCCTCTGTCCTTGGAATTCTCCAGGCAAGAATACTGGAGAGGGTAGCCATTTCCTCCTCCAGGGGATCTTCCT